GTTTGTTAGACCTTAACTAATTTACATACCTGCACAGACGAATATTTGGAAAAATTCTCCATTTGATATCGTCTAAGTACTTCATTTAGTCGTTGATCTGAAACAAAGTAAAAAAAAATCTGTATTTCACTGGCTAATGCTCAATATTTAAAAACTACAAACAAGGTAGTTATTATCCGATATATCCAATGCAAAACTGCTAGTCTTCACTGCTTCTCAAAATGAATCATCAATTTCAACACGTTTTTAGAATTTAAGAAAAGGTCCTTCTATACATGTAAGCCAACCACCTACTGCTAGTGGGAAAAAGAATAGCTGCAAAGAACTAATATTCCTAATTTCTTACATTTTAATTCTCAGTTTTTCCTGGTTTACTCTTCAGGTTAGCAGAAGTAAAAAAATACTCTCCACTTTTTTTTTATTCCTGCTACTAGAAGTGAACTGAAAAGATAAACTATAGCCATATTTTTTCCAATAGTGAAAACTGGCTAAAATTGTGTTCCAGGACAAACCTCCACACAGAAGAGAAACGGCAGGACAAAGATTCCACATTATACAGGAGTGAGTAAGAGATACTAGAAATGAAGGACTGGAATAAAGCCAACTGCTCTCAGTAAGCATAAGATGATTGATATTTTTATTCACATCAAGAAAACATATAATAGAACACAGTAAATGTACAAAACTTACTATTTCAAGATCACATGGATCACTTAAAACTGATAATTTGCTAGCAATAGAGTAAATCTCAACTCTCAAAAAGACTGAAAGCCAATGAGAGCATGTTACCTGACAAGAGCGCAATGAAGTTTAATCAAAAACCAAAAAGGGAAAATTTTAATACATTTTTAAGTTCAGAAATTACTTTTTAATAACCATGGGTCACAGGAGAAATTACAAAACAAATTTGGATGTATTTTGAATTGATCGACAGTGAAAATGTAATACCTCAAACTTGCTCAAAAAAAAAAAAAACCTATAGCTTTAATTATATACACTAGGAAAAAAGGCTTATGGTCAATGAACTCTTGGTCTATCCCAAAAAGTTAGAAGAAAAGCAAATTAAACCCAAAGAGCATCAAGTGAAGGAAATAATAAAGATAAGCCTACCCCCAAAGAAACTGAAAATAAACATGCAAAAAAGATCAACAAACACAATCGTCTCAAAAGTTACAGTAAAAGCATCTGATGAAACTTAAGATATATTCATGATAAAGCCTCAGGAATTTAAGAAGTTAATTTCCTTAATAAAACAATAGATTCCTACATAAATGCACAGCAAACATCATACTTAAAGATGAGAATGTTGAAAACTTTCTCTTGGAAATTGGGAATGACACAAGGACAAATTTTCTTGACATTTATTCACACTCTACTGGAGGTCTAAGTTTATGCAATAAGTAAGAAATAAATAAAAGAAAAGGAAAAAAAAACCCCATTATCCATTATCCATAGTTAATCATGTATAGGTATAGGTAAATCCCAGAGAACACACAGATAAAGTTTTAGAATAATGACCCTCAGCATGGTTGTTGGATACAAGGTCAATATACAAAATTTAATTATATTTCTATATACTGCCAACAAAGTTAGAATAAAACATATCATTTACAATACCATACAAAAACCCAATGTCTAGGAATAAATCTAAAAGATTTAAACAAAAGATGTGTAAGACTGTACAGAAAACTACGAAACATTCAGCAGAGAAATTAAAGACTAAATAAGTAGACAGAGATACTCATGGTTTACAGGAGTCAGTATTGTAAAGATAGCAGTTCTCCTCAAGTTGATCTTATAGATAGACTCAATGCAATCTCAGTTAACGTTCCAAAAGATGATATTGCAGAAATTTAAAAGCTGATTCTAAAATATAGGTGGAAACATAACAAGAATAGCTAAGGCATTCTTGCAAAAGTAGAATGGGGGAGGACTTGCTTTACCAGTTATCAAGATTTATTACAAAGTTACAGTCATTTAGTGTGATAGTTGTATAAAAATAAACAAAATTGACCAATGGAAGAGAATAAAGAATACAAAGATAAATTCACGTTCATTTAGAACACCTGAATTATGATTGAAGGGGCACTCCAGAGCAGTGAGGGGTAAAGAAAAATCTTTTCAAATTCCACCTATCAGTGAGATCATATAATTGTCTTTCTCTGGTTGACTGATATGTGGAATTTGAGAAACAAGGCAGAGGACCATAGGGGAAGGGAGGAAAAAATGAAACAAGATGAAACCAGAGAGGGAGACAAACCGTAAGAGACTCTTAATCTCAGGAAACAAACTGAGGGTTGTTGGAGTGGAGGCGGGTGGGAGGGATGGGGTGGCTGGGTGATGGACATTGGGGAGGGTATGTGCTATGGTGAGCGCTGTGAATTGTGTAAGACTGATGAATCACAGACGTGTACCACTGAAACAAATAATACATTACATGTTAATTAAAAAATGAAAAAAAAAGAATAATCTTTTTAAAATTGGTTCTGGGTCAATTGGATATCCTCATAAAAAATAAAACATTATCCATAAAAATCAATTCTAGGTGAAACGAAGATCTGTGAATGCCAAAACAAATTCTAGACAAGAATAGACTATCTTTATAAATCTCAGGATAGGGAAAGATTTTTTAATCAGAACACAAAAAGCACTAAAGATAAGTGGAAAAAAAAAACCTGATAAACTGAACCACATTAAAATTAAGAACTTTTGTTCAACAAAGAGACTTTTAAGAGAGTAAAAATATAAGACACAAACACAATCCTATAGAAAAGTGTTAAGACATGAATGGGCACTTCACATAAAGGTTACCCAGGGAGCTAATAAATGGAGAAAAGCTGCTCAACCTCATTAGGCATCAGGAAAATACAAATTAAAATTACAATAAAGAGCTAAAATTATAGAACATGTTGGTGACAATGTAAAATAATGAAAACTCTGCTACACTGCTGGTGGGAATGTAAATTAGTACAACTTTAAAATTAAACATATATATAATTCCTAAGAATATACATAACCAAAATGTGTGCACTTGAGCACCAAGGGCCATGACAAAAAATACTGATAAAAGCATTATTCTCAATGGCCTCCATACTGGAAACTGCAACTATCCATCAAAAGAAGAACAGATAAACATGATAAATTTAAAACTGGAATATTTTGCAGAGACAAAAATGAACAAACTACATCTACATACAAGACTATGGATAAATTTCAAAGACATCATGTTAAGCCAAAACAGAAGAATACATAGCTTTGATTCCATTGACATAAAGCTCATAGTGTAAAATTAAAGACTTTGGTTATCTTCAATTACCTTTGAGGATAAGGGAGAGATTATGATTACAAGGGGGCTTCTGAGGTCCTGGAAATGTTCTATTTTTTTATCTGAGTTTTGGTTATATGAGTTTTGAACCTTGTAATCATTCACTTAGTTTTATATTTGTTTTCTTTACTTTTCTGTGTATGTTATACATAGCACATATATATGGAATACATACTAATTATAATTATAAAAATTTTAAAAATGCATATATAATATGCACACACAGGGTATACATTCTATGTTAGTTTCTTCCTTGAAAGTACACATAATTTAGTGGTGAAATATGACAAATATATGTAATTCTGATAAATAATCATGGAGTACTGATAACATAGTTTTAAACTTTTTATTGAATTTAAAAGAAATTATCCATGTTTTTATTGTTACTCACAGAACTTTTAAGATAGTTACTTGACACACCCCACTAAAATTTTACCATCATATAGGATCTGGTTCCTGCCTATTACTCTTATTCCCTATGAGTCTCAGGAGGAGGTTGGAGTTATGGTCCTGGATACAATAATTTCAATGCAAGCCACCTTTTTTCCCCCCCACCTAATAGGGTTTTCAAATAAGAAAAAAACACTAAATCTGAGTTCTCAGTGATTAAAGTAAGTTCAAAAGTCAATTGTGGGGGTGCCTGGGTGGCTCAGTTGGTTAAACATCTGCCTTCAGCTCAGGTCACGATCCCAGAGTCCTGGGATCAAGCCCCACATCAGGCTCCCTGCTCAGCGGGGAGTCTGCTTCTCCCTCTCCCTCTATTCCTCCCCTGTTCATGCTCTCTCAAAAAAATTAATAAAACCTTAAAAAAAAAGAAGTCAATTGTGGATTACTGAGGGAAACACATTCAATCCTCAGAGATTGACTTTCATCTGGAGAAAATTTTACTATAACTTAAATCTCTTATTTCCTTCATTCATTCAACAAGTACTTATTATACTGTTGTTTAATTTGCATTTTCTGGGTTGCTGATGAGACTGACATTTTTCATTTTTTTAGTAGTTCTTCAAATTTTATTTTTTTGTAAATGGCCTGATCATATTCTTTAACTATTTTTCTATTAGTATGATTTTTGTGAACAAACTTTCTAAATTCTGGATGCTAATCAATTCTCAGTTACATTTATTGTAAATATATTCTCCCTTTCTGTAGCTGGGGTAGTCTTTTATTGATGATGTCTTTTGTAATACCCAAGTTTTTATCTCGAATGTACTCTATTCACATATTTTTTCTTCTAGTCAAATATCTATTGAAGAAATCTTTCCCTATCCTGAGATCATAAAGACACCCTCTTAAATTTTTTTCTGAAAGTTTAAAGAGAATTCACGTCTTCAATCAACCTGCAGATTATTTTTCTATATATGTGGGAAAGGTATCTTTATTATTTTTTCCTTCCTATTTGGATAGCCAATTATCCTAGCACCATTTGCTAAATATCCTTTTCCCACTGATTTGTATGGCTCTTCTTTCAGAAAACAAGTTTCATGTATGTGTCTTTCCTGGGCTAATTTATTCCACTGATCTATTTATGTACCAATCTGACAATCTAATATTGATTTAATAGTTGGATATTTTTAAGTCTTAATAACTGGCAAATAAATTTTCCCACCTTGATATTCTTTAAAACTCTCTTGGCTATTCTTAGCTCTTCCACTAGATTTTTTTTTCATGAGAGAGCGAGCGAGTGAGAGCAAGCTAGTGGGGGGTAGGAGGAAGGGGCAGAGGGAGAGAGAGAATCTTAAGCAGGCTCCACACCCAGCACAGAGCCCGAT